GAAACTAAATGGTTGGCTTTAACATGCACGTTATTTTGCAAACAGCCTAATGAGACACTTCAGTAATCCATTGAGAAGAAAGCTCAATCAACTCAGGGAGAGGTGATGGGGGGGGAGGGGAGGGGGGTTGATTTTTTTATTAAATATATTTTATTGATTTTTCACAGAGAGGAAGAGAGAAGGATAGAGAGTTAGAAACATCGATGAGAGAGAATCATCGATCAGCTGCCTCTTGCACACCCCCTGCTGGGGATGTGCCCGCAACCAAGGTACATGCCCTTGGCCGGAATCGAACCCGGGACCTTTCAGTCTGCAGGCCGACGCTCTATCCACTGAGCCAAACCGGTGCCGGCGGGGGGGGGGGGGGTTGATTTTAAGGGCATCTGGAGCAGTACAGTTTCATTTCCTGCAAGTGTAGTAAGCAAGAAGAGACAAGAAGCCCACTGCCTAGGAGCAGCCCTAAAGGTCAGGATTAATGAATGGGTCGGAAGTTTTGAAGCTTGCAGGCCCAGTTGTGTGCCCGTAAGTGGATATTTCAGTGGCCCTTAAGGGAACTGATACATAATTTATTTTCTTAAATAGGTGCGTGGTGTAGAAATGTTGGTTGCACCCTTAATTGGACCAAAACACTATGTCTTCATGAGTACCAGCTTTTACTAAACTTCCCGGCAAAGGCTCCACTTTGCATTTCCCGGACTCTGAGGCAGGGTGCCCCAACAGATCACGCTGAGCCTGGATACTGGCACCTGGGCCAGCAGCAGCTGCCAATCTTTCTCCTATTACTGGATGCAAAGTGCTGGGAGCCTAGCCATGGCATGTGCAAACAGATGGCTTGAGAGGAAGAGCCATCAAACCCAGGTCAGATCTCGATTTTGCCCCCAAACAAGCTGTGTGAACTAGGGCAGATCATGTCACCTCTCGGGTGTTTTTGTTGCCTGCATGTCCCCAGGATTCTGTGCCTTTGAGAGGCACCTCCCCCACTACCAAGTGGGAGAGCCCTGGTGTCAGCAAAGCACCAGTCTCACGTACTGGGAACAGAGTTGGTTGGGATGGTGTGTGGGTGTAAGCTGTAGGGTCCAGAAATCAAAGAGCCCAGGCTTTGGAATTAGGCAAAGATGGATTTACCCTGGATTCTCCACTTATCAGCTCTGTGACCTGGCTCAGCCTTTCCAGGCCTCAATTTTCTCATCTGTAAAATGGGAGTGATGACAACAACTTGATGGGGCTGTTGCAGAAATTAGTGACAGCAAATATAAAGTGAATGGCAGTCCAGGGAGAGCAGCACTGCCAGTCGGTGATTTAAGACCTACTCGAAGAGCTACTGGAAGGCAGCGAGACCCTCTCCCTGTCCCCACAACCATGTCTCTTTGACTTAGAATGGGTCAGTTTCAGATTGGGGGTGTCTGTCCACTGTACCCATAACTGGATGCAGTTTGGTTATTGGGATTTAAATATAGATTTTCAAAAATGAATTGTAAGCATCAATGCATCTCCTTCCTACAGAACTCCATGGCCCCAGGATCTCATTGGTCGTCCTGGGCTTCTAGCAACAGGCTTAACATTATTAAGGAATTAGAGGCCCAGTGCAGGAAATTCGAGCATTGATAGGGTCCCTAGGCCTGGCCAGCAATCAGGGCTGATTGGGACCTTCTGCCTGCCAGCTTTGTTCCACACCGCACCCTGGTGGTCAGCACACATCACAGCGAGAGAGTGAACTCCCAAGGGGACACTTTGCATATTAGCCTTTTATATATATAGGTAAGCCATCAGTGGCACGTGGTGGTTTTCACCCCTCTAACTACTTTGAGAGGAGCTTGTTACTGTGGAGACATAAGCAGACAAGACAATCCCCTCATTCTTCACTTCATCTCTGACCTTCCCCCATCACCCCAAAAATGTATCTGTCTTCTGCTAAGAAGGAGAAACAGTAACTCCATCCCCACCCCGAGTATGGACTCATAACTAGTAGAGTTATCTCTTTGTAATCTTCCAAACAAATCTACTTTCATTCTCTCACTTAGGCCTTACACTCACACATCAAGATTATCGGGCCCAGTTTTCAGATGAGGAAAAGCAGAGGCTCAGGAATTGTCCATTTCTCTCCCTCAACTTCATGGGGCCATTCGTCTCGTGCCATGCAAAATGTTCGCAATGGAGATGATAGTCGTGGCCCCTTTTTTATCTCAGGATCCCCCCATCACTCCTAGACATCCAGGGTGGAAAGTGCACCATGTATTCTTACCAATTGATCCAACTAAGAGCAATTCTTGACTCTGCAAACCCAACCCCGCCAGCCAGGACTGATCTGTCAGCAACCCGGGGCGCAGAGATGGGCCCGGGAGATTGGCGGGTCAGAAGAAGCAGTGCGCTCACCCAACTGACAGTGTGGACTTAAATAAATTGTGGGTCTTGGCTGGGGGTGATAAGGCATAAATTCCAAGTGCGTGTTATTCTTACACATCATTATGCCCCAACATGGGGAAGAGAGCTGCATCTTGTCCCAAGTTTGTAGCAAAACTGCACTGCGTGTAAATAGCCCTCGGGCCTTTGATGTTGAGCAGAGAGGAAAATAATCCTCTCAGAAAAGCTGGGTGGAACAGAGGGCTCAGCGGGCAGGCCGGGGGGGGCGGGGGCTGAATGAGGGTGCCCTGCTGGGTCTGAGCCCCTTCTCCTGCCCCTACCAAGGTAAACTGTCTTTAGTTCCTGAAAGGATGATTCCCTCTAATACCTTCACAGAGAGAAGCACCCAAAAAATGTTTCGGTAAAATTAAGTGGGAAGCTGAGAAGGCCAGAGCAGAGGAATGGAGAGGAGGTGTCAGCCTGAGCTCCCGCCAGAACCAGGCCGGCCACTGGCCAGCCTCAAAGGGCGCCTCCCAGAGGTGGGCAAGAGGATGGTCCTGACTTGATAAAGAACTTGCCTGTTTTAGATTGTCCCCAGCCGTCTCTCAGACATGGCTGCAGTCACCTTTAAGCTCCCTGCCCTGCCACTCTGGTTGCCACCATCCCTCACCAGGCTCTCTTCTGCGTCAGTCCACACCTGGAAACTTTGTGCATTTGCCCCAGCGCCCACCCTCAGGAGCAGGGAGCAGGAAAGAGGGGACTGACCCTGAGGCACCTGCAGGAGCTGCCACCTGGGCCCAGGATGAGTGCCAGGCTTGGAAAGGGGCATCAAGGACCTGTCTGCTTCCTCCTGTATGGGGAAAAGACTAATTCATGAGGCATTGACACTGCCAGCCCAATGCCCGGGACAGAACAGGCACTCAGGCAATGACCCACTGAAGGTAGCAACGCCCTAGACCCTTCATCTCCTCTTACAAGTGGGGAAACTGAGGGAGGCTGGTATAAAGAAAGGATCGGGTTGAGCTAGGAGTACGTGTCCCAGATGGATACATTCTTGCTGCATAGCCTTGGGCAGGTCACTCCCTCTCTCCCAGGTCTCTCATTTCCTTACCTGTGAAGTCAGGCGGGTGGGCAAGATCATCTCTAAGGTCCTCCTTTAGTCCTCATACCGGGTCCTCACCCTCGGAAGCTCAAAGAAGGTCGATTTCTTTATCAGTGCCACACAGCATGTCTGAGGCAGGACTGGGAGCACAGGTGACTCCAGGAGTAGACAGCATATTCTAACTCCAGCCCGATATTCTGAAGTTCAAGTGGCAGATGGAGGGGGAGGGGAGCTAGGATTTCCGGTGATCTGGTGCTAAGCTGGAGTGTACTTCTACTTAGAAATGCCATTATAGACAGGAAGATTCATATTACAAACCATTTTGGAACCAAAGTGGTTATTGGTGGGTCTACAAAGAAAACCTCTATTGGAGCATCCCTGAAGTCACTCTGGGTATGTTCAATCCAGCAGTGGGCGTACTCACTAGAAAATGCTCTGGTCCATTCATCATAGCTATCCCTAAGAGCATCTCTCTGGGGGACAAGTTCGTTAGCCAACTTCAGTGGCTACATACAGTAATGATGATAAAGCTCAGTTCTTTGAAAAATCATGTTCCGGCTGTCTCCACCACGGAGCCAGGAGAGTAGGGCCTGTCAGTTTTGAAATAGTTCACCTGCCAGGGAGGGACTCGGAGCCATTTCGTTCAGCGGAGAAACACGTGGACTTTGTTGTTTGGCTGACCCTTCCTATAGATTGTGGAGGCGGGTGGTAGGGCTTGTGCTGCTTTGCCATCCCCAAATCCTTGCTCATAGTAGGGCCACGTGCATGTGATAGAAAAAGCCAGGGAAGGCCGGGACCAGTTTGGCTCAGTGATAGAGCGTCGGCCTGCGGACTGAAGGGTCCCGGGTTCGATTCTGATCAAGGGCATGTACCGTGGTTGCGGGCACATCCCCAGTAAGGGGTGTGCAAAAGGCAGCTAATCGATGATTCTCTCTCATCGATGTTTCTAACTCTCTATCCCTCTTTCCTCCTCTCTGTGAAAAATCAATAAAATATATTTGGGGGGGGGAAAAAAAAAGAAAAAGCCAGGCAAAAAGGAAGAGGATATGACCCCTTGGCAAGTAGTGATGCTATTTCTGGGAATAAGAATGCGGTGGGGGGGAGACACACACCATGATTGGGGGAGGGGTTGGCTGAGGAAGATTTGTTCCCACTGTGACATGTGAGTGTCCAGAGTCAGTGGTCCCCTGAAGGTCATACTTATTAGGCAGTGGGATCAGTATGTCTGAAGCTCAGGAAAGATCTCAGGGCCGGAGGTGCAGATTGGAAGGTTAAGAGCTGACTACCAATATGGCCCTAACGGGCATTCAGAGGGAGAAGAGACCAGATCCCATTGCCACAGACCCAGAGGGTGTCCATATTCGTTCTTTCCTGCCAGAATCCCATGGGGCAAAAGTCAGGACATTAATCAGGATGAGGAATCCTTGGTCCCTGACTGGGGTTGATGGTGATGAGTGTGGGAACTCTGGCCGGTTGTTGGATTTCTGGGATCTCACCTGTCTCTGGAGTACAGTCTGAAGTCACCCACGTGCTTCTTTCTCTCTCTTCTCTCCTTCAGGTGTTTACAAAATATGGGAAGTGTTACATGTTTAACTCAGGCGAGGATGGCAAACCTCTGCTCACCACGGTCAAGGGGGGGACAGGCAACGGGCTGGAGATCATGCTGGACATTCAGCAGGATGAGTACCTGCCCATCTGGGGAGAGACAGGTGAGCTGGGCACAGGGACCTGGGCAGTGGGGGGTGGCAGCGGGGAGCAGGACTTTGAAGACTGACTTGCTCCGAGTGGGCTGTCTTGGCACACCTATGAAGGACTGATCTCTGCCAAGGGGTTGGTGGCCTGCCAGTGAGTGGTAGGGATGCCCCTGGTATGAGTTGTTTTTGTGTGTGTGTGTGTGTTTTGTTTGTTTATTTGTTTGTTTTTTTAATTTCACAGATGGGAGAGGGTAGGTGATGGGAATGTTGGAAAGCCAGTAGGGTGAGAAGTGTTGGGAGGGGATATGGAGGAAGGTTCAAGTCAACAAGTATGGTTGGGAGGTGACTGGCTTGATTTCAGGAGGAGGAAAGGATAGGCCAGCCCCTCCTTCTCCCAGTCATACTGAATCTCCCACCCCAGCCAGAAGGCCCAATGGGAAAGAAAGCAGACTTCTTTCTCTGGAAGAAGGTGGAGGGGCTGTGCAGTGTTGGACATCCAAAGGATACGGACTCATGGGCCCCGCACCACGCCTATGGGAACCCCTGGGGGCCTAAGCTTTATTCATCTATTTAGTCAACAAATAATTCATTTACCATATATGCTACCTCATGCTTTACACCAAAGTCAGACCATTAAGGTGCAAAAGGCTGATTCCTTGATCACAAACTAGAAGAGGAGACACACTATGATAGTCCATTGTGACCCCAGTGTTGCTGGTGCTGTGGCCGCCACCTGGACGGGGGAGGTGGCAGGGTTGGGGGAGGAGAGGAAGGTGCAGGGAAAGCACCCTAGAACATGCAGCATCTGAATGGGGTCTCGGGATTGTCCTGGGTCTTCATAATAAGGGTGTGGATAGAGGAGAGGGCGATGTGAAGGCAGAAGCAGAGATGGAGTGATGCAGCCCAGGGATGCTGGACTCAGCTGGAATTCACTCACCAGGTGGAGAAAGTAAAGAGGTGCCCAGGGAGGGGACTGTGGATGCAAAAGACCCAATAAGACTGATGCTGTGTTCAGGGCATCAAGGTTAGGAGTGGAGAAGGGGCTCACAGGATGGGCCTGAGGAGGGACCAGAAGGAATGATGGAGGGGAAAGAAGCCCCCAGCAGGAGGGAGGCCAGGGCCCTCAGGGTGGAGCTGAGGAGTGTGTGTGTGTGTGTGTGTGTGTGTGTGTGTGTGTGTGTGTGTGTGTGTGTGTTGGGAGGTGGGGGGAGAATCAGGGGGACATGGAGGTCAAGCAGCCCCAGCCCCACTTTCTGAAGCCTCCACCCCATGATTCCTGCAGCCGATCCTACCCCTTCCCGGGCCTTCCAGGCTTCTGAGGCAGCAAAGGCTCCCACTCCAGGGCTCACTGAGCACAAGCTCCAAGCTCTCTCCCCACCACCATGCTTCCCCTTCCTCCCGGCATCCTCGCTTGCACACCCTGCTAGGGAGAGCTCACCTCACACTGGTTAGTTAGTTTTCTCCTCCAGCTGAAAGGTACAATGGCCACCACATACATCATTCCAGGTACTTCTGTCTCCTGGCAGCTCCCCCTGCTCCAGGCCTTCAAACCCCCTGCTGTTGCTCAGGGACATTTGATCCACCCATTCTTCTACATGCAGTTCTCTTCCCCACCACCCTTCTACATATGCAGTGCCCCTCTCCTCCAGCAGGGGGATAAAAGTGTGTGTTCCCACTAAGCTCTGAATGCTGACTCCCAGAGCCCGACTCTCCAGAACATCCCAGAGAACAGCCTGCATCTGATAGTCCTGGGTCCTGGGAGATCTTGGTTTAGAGAGAGAAGCTGCCTCGTAAATTTCAGGACATATTTGCTTATTGAATTTCCTGTGGAAAAGGATAGAAATGAGGATGTAAAAGTGAGTCCTGCTCCCAAGGTGGGTGACGTGGCTAGGCCTAGGTCACCCTAGCCCACCTTGGACCCAGGAGACAGTCCCCGTCCTCCCTTTCCAAGCTGCATAGCCCCACAGATAATACCTTGGTTCTTTGTCCCTCCTACCACCTCTCAATCCCCGGAGAAAGGAGCCCAAGTCCTCACAGGAGATATTGGGGCAGTGATTGAGGAATTATTGGAAATATGTCTGCGGAGGGAGTGGCCACTAGGGCTTGATGACAGAGGCAGGGTCGTGGGACGGGAAAGTAGCATCAGAGAGACAGACCCAAGATCCACCCTGCAGCTCTCCCGTTGCTCCCAGTGCGGCTGAGGATGTGGGAGTGAGCCTCAGTGACCTCCTCCATAAAGTGGAGATCAATAAAGCAAACAAAACCCGACCCCGTGACAAAGATGGCTGAAGGACCAAATGAGAACTCTCGGCCAAGTGTGAACAGCGGAAGCATGATCATGACGGCCTGTAGCTGGGGGGCAGGGGGAGGAGGAGGGGGGGGACAGTCACACAGCCCCAGAGGCAGAGAGCATCACCAAAGTCTCACAGCTGTAACAGGAGGCCTCCACCACCTCAACATCTGGGCGTCCCATCTGCTCAAAGCAGCCTCTGCTAATTCTTGCCCTGCCTCGTGGACAGCTTCATCTCTCATGAGTTTAAGGAAGAAGTGGGGGAACCACCCTCTGGGTGTAATTCTGACATAGGAGGGACCTTGGGCACCCATAGGTAAATTAGGAAAAGGCACCCCCATGAGGTTGACCCAGACCAATGGCTCATGCTGAGCAAATAGAGGGTGACTGTGAAAATTATCAAAAGTGCCCTTTTCTCTGGGCTGACAGTGTCCTGCACAAGGATGCTTCTTGGCCAAATCTCCTTGCACAGGGCATCCTGGAAATATGCCCTTTTAAAGAGGGCAGGCTCCGTCACACGTGGGCCTGGTCAGTGTGCCCCCGGGAGAGCCCTGTGGAATGCCAGGCTTTTGGGATCGTACGGGCTCCAAGAATACAAAAGTCCTGGGAAACTCTGGTTAGACCAGGCAAACACAGGCATGCATGGCAGGAAGGCTTTCAGATGCTCCCATGACTCCTTCGAGACAGCAGAATCCCATGCCGCATTTATTTCCCAGATGCCTTTGAGTGAAAACCTCTTTTCTCATGGAAGAGCTTACAAAATAGAAAAAGGACCGAAAAGCTGTCCTAGACTGTGGACATGTGGCTTTCATGGCCGGCATTGTCTAAAGGAAATTAAACCGAAGGCTGGTGGGAGGTTGTTAAAAGTGAAACTCTGTGTAGATGCCTCGGAGAAACTTCAAAGAAACTTCGGCAGTGGGTTATCTAAGATGCACATGAGAGAAACCAGATTCAAACAAGCTTAGGCATGAAAGGAACCCTGTTGCCCCAGAATCCAAGGCAAACTTCAACAACCAAACAGCGGGAGGGCAGGGAGGCAAATTCTGAAACAACTGAAACTAGAACAGAGGGCTCAGCCCCCCTTCCATCTCTCCCTCCTTTTCTGGTCTCTCCTCTCTCTGAATCCCTTCATTTTTCTCTCACCAGAAACAGGCTTTTTTCACACATTTTTTTTTCCCCACACATGGTTCCCAGTAGTTTTACATTTTTACACACCCTACCATAGGCAAGAGACTGTTCTGAGTCTCTCGCTAATCCTCTATTTAAAAACAAAACAAAACAAAAAAACCGGGGAGGGCATCATTGGTCCAGCTCAGTCTGATGCCCGCCCCTGGACCAATCAATGACCAGGGAGTGAGTTCATGGAAGGACAGGAGAGCCCTAAGGAAGCTGGGGGGATAAAAGCTGGAAGGAGTTCCCACAAGAGATTGTCTCACGAATGGCCATGCTGGGGGAGGTAGGGATCAGGGTGAGGGTGATGGGTGGGAGTGGGTTACACCTGAAGAAACCAGAATCAGTGTACAAGAAGCTCTATTTTTTTTTCTTTAATAAACTTATTTTTTTTCTTTTAAATTAATTTTTAGAGAGGAAGAGAGAGAGAAAAATTGATTTGTAGTTTTACCTATTTATGCATTCATTGGTTTAGTCTTGTATGTGTGTCCCCAACCAGGGATCGAACCCGAGCCCTTGGCACATCTTCTCGATGCTCTAATCAATTGAGTTACCTGCCCAGGTCCTGTACAAGGAGCTCCTTAGGGAACTCAATTTCTGGATAGATAGGCTCCAGTAGGGCCGTTCCCTTTCTCGTCTCCCTCTATCCTTCATTCACCCCTTGGCACAATGTATTTTTATCAAATGTTATCTCCTTGTTTTCTTCAAATCCTAGTATTGTAGAAAAATGAATTTGCTATTAAACAAAGGTATAACTTTCAGACTCTGTGCTCTAATAGAAGTATATATCTGCCCCCTTATTAATCCTCTCTGTCTCATCACCTCCTATTTTGTCCCCTTGTTCGCTTGGGTCTAGCCACACTGGCTTCCCTGTGGTTTCTGGGACATCCCAGGAACACTGTCACTTTAAGGCATCTGCATTCTCTATTCCTTCTTCCTAGAATTCTCTCCGCTCAGACCCATGTGATTAATTGCCTCATCTCCATCAAGTCTTTGCTCAGTGAGGCCTACCTTTACCGCCTTATTTAAAATTGCACTCCACTCCACTCCTCGCCTCCCTTCATCTGCTCTGCTTCCTTTTCACTGTGGCATGTGTCACCTTCAAGTATACCATATGATTTACTTATTTTTTTCTTATTTCTCCCCTTTTACTAAAACATATGCTCTAGAGGCTAGATATCTTGGATGTCTGGCTCACTTAACATATACCAAGTTAATAAATACATATTTTGTTGAGAGAGATAAAAAGTTGCTATGCACACTGATGGGGCCAGAATGAGGGAGACACTAACTTTAATGAGGAGCTACTATGTGCCATGAATATTCTGTCCCATGAATTCCTCCCAATTACCCTGTTGCCAAGGGTTATAATCCCTTGAAAGACAGAAACCGGAGCCCAGAGAGGCTGCATAAGCTTCCTAAGAACACACAACTCGTTAAGTAGTGAAACCAAGCGGAAAATCCACTTGTGAGCCCAAAGGCAGTCCTCCTCTCACTACATTCCTTTCATGTCCAAAATGTGATTATAAAGGCACTCCTGTGAAAGTAGCTCGGG